ATGGTCATTTATGTAATAACTTTTTTTCTCTTTAATTTTTAAGATATGGATGCATCGTTTAATGAAATATACGAGAAGGAGGAATTTAAATAATATAGCTTATCTTACCGAAGTAAGATTGTTATCAGTTATGGTCACCCCCCCCCCCCCCTCGATTAAAAATCTTTTTTTTTCCTGTTTCTTTTTATCTCAAATTTTATTGTACCCATATTTCTTTTACAGAAACCACTGTTTTGGTAAACCCCAAAGAGCTCGTGGGGCCAGTAAAAAGGAAAGGAGGAACCGTTAGTAAGCCAGAGGAATCGTCCGCAAAACCCTTAAGCATACGAGAATTTCATCATGCACATGAGGCGAAGTTCGAAATTGCATCATGTTACTTAGTAGGGCCTTTCCGTCAGAGGTCAGAAAAACAGCCTCGAATGTATCATCATCAACGGGTGTTAAAAATTTATACATTTCCTGTTTATTGGAATAAAGGATTGAAGGATTTAGAAGTCTTGTATATTTTAGGTAATATCATTGCAGTCAATAAAGTTAACTTCATACTCCACAGATAAGAGGTCTTCTAACATTTATTTCAAAGTTTGTGAAAAGGGGGTTTGTCATGGCGTTTATGTAGTACATGTACATTGTATTTTTAGACTGCTAGTAGGAAAGGCCCGAGAGTTTGCCATTGGCGAAATTCGATCCTACTTGATAGAGTACCTACGTACGCTAGTACAAAAGAGTGCTTTAGGGTACGCTAGTAAAATTTTATAATTTAATGCAAATAAACTGCTTTCTGTATGTTTTTCTAAATTAGTTTAACATAATAAACATATCATTTAAATAGAATGTGTATGTGTTCTTTATTTTCGAAGTTAGGCCTATTTTAATTTTTGATTTCAGATGACAGTTTAACGCTTGATCCCGATATCGATGTAATTTAACTTCAAATGTTTCGTTGTTAATGTGTAAAATATTACATTTTAAGTAATTCAATTAATTTAATTTTTTGATGAATTAATTAATAAGTCTGAAACAACATTACTTATACTATAGTAAATGTTCATTGAAGGGCTGGATGGCCCCCAACTTTTTGTGATATAAGGTAAATGTAGTATAAAAAATTGTAACTGAAAGAAGTTGGCTTTGAAATTGAAATTTCTCTGGCTGCCCTCCCCCCTTTCAAAAACGATGCTTCGTGGATGCACTGTACAAAACCATGAACATGATCGAGTAGAATACTAGAATTTCACATTTATATGTATTTCAGAAGACAAAATCAAAATGTTTCTTCTGTTATGCAGCAAATTAAATGAACTTACCGTAAAATTGTTTACAATAAATTTTAGTAAAATAGTAACTTGCTAGAAAAAAGTGTCAATGGGGACAAATGCATTCCTTTATCTACTACGGAGAAGAGATATTCAAAAAAGACGACGAAAATTTCTTACATTTTTTGTTAAAATTTAATAAAATAACAGTCATGAACATTTTTTTGTGTCTAACCATAACAAACAAAACAAGAGGCCCATGGGCCACATCGCTCACCTGAGAAGCTTTGACCATTCTGTTCTTTACCAGATTTCCCCCTTGTAATACATAATGTATCCCCACCCTACCCCACTGATCATAATTAAGACATTTTGAAATCAACTACCCCAGGATCCTTCCATGTGCAAATAAGTTTCAGCTTTTCTGGCCCAGTGGTTCTTGAGAAGAAGATTTTCAAAGATTTTTCCTATATATTTTTATGTAAAACTTTGATCCCCCCATTGTGGCTCCACCCTTCATCTGGGGGTCATGATTTGAACAATTTACAATCTACATTACCCAAGAATGCTTCCACATAAGTTTCAACTTTTCTGGCCCAATGGTTCTTGAGAAGAAGATTTTCAAAGATTTTTACAATATATTTCTATGTAAAACTTTGATTACCAATTGTGGCCCCGCCCTTCCCCCGGGGGTCATGATTTAATTTAGAATATACACTATACCAGGATGCTTCCACATAAGTTTCAGCTTTTCTGGCCCAGTGGTTCTTGAGAAGAAGATTTTCAAAGATTTTTCCTATATATTTCTATGTAAAACTTTGATTCCCCATTGTGGCCTCGCTCTTTCCTCGGGGGTCATGATTTGAACAATTTAGAATCTACAGTACCCAAGAATGCTTCCACATAAGTTTCAACTTTTCTGGCACAGTGGTTCTTAAGAAGAAGATTTTCAAAGATTTTTCCTATATATTTCTATGTAAAACTTTGATTCCCCATTGTGGCCCCACCCTTCCCCCGGGGGTCATGATTTTTACAATTTAGAATCTACACTATCCCAGGATGCTTCCACATAAGTTTCAGCTTTTCTGGCCCAGTAGTTCTTGAGAAGAAGATTTTCAAAGATTTTTCCTATATATTTCTATGTAAAACTTTGATTCCCCATTGTGGCCCCGCCCTTCCCCCGGGGGTCATGATTTGAACAATTTAATATCTACCCTACCCTAGGATGCTTTCACATAAGTTTCAGCTTTTCTGGCCCAGTAGTTCTTGAGAAGAAGATTTTCAAAGATTTTTCCTATATATTTCTATGTAAAACTTTGATTCCCCATTGTGGCCCCGCCCTTCCCCCGGGGGTTATGATTTGAACAATTTAATATCTACCCTACCCTAGGATGCTTTCACATAAGTTTCAGCTTTTCTGGCCCAGTAGTTCTTGAGAAGAAGATTTTCAAAGATTTTTCCTATATATTTCTATGTAAAACTTTGATTCCTCATTGTGGCCCCGCCCTTCCCCCGGGGGTCATGATTTGAACAATTTAATATCTACCCTACCCTAGGATGCTTTCACATAAGTTTCAGCTTTTCTGGCCCAGTGGTTCTTGAGAAGAAGATTTTTTAATGACCCCACCCTATTTTTGTCTTTTCTTGATTATCTCCCCTTGCGAGGGAATATGTCCCTTCATTTTAACAATTTAAATTCCCCTTCACCCAAGGATGCTTTGTACCAAGTTTGGTCAAAATTGGTCGAGTGGTTCTTGAGAAGAAGTCGAAAATGTGAAAAGTTTACAGACGGACAGACAGACGGACGGACGACGGACAAAATGTGATCAGAAAAGCTCACTTGAGCCTTCGGCTCAGGTGAGCTAAAAAGTAAAATGCGTGAAAGAAAAATAATATAAAAAATCTTTGAAACAATATGAATGAGAGAAATCAGTACAATTGTGTTGAATTTGAAATAATCACAGATATACCTATCTAAAATCCTAAAAATATTTTGGTCAGTGTCTGTTCCTCGGACTTTCTGAATTTCTCTATGCCTGTTTTTGATGTACATGTACCGTCGTAGGTTGTACTTCCACCTGTAGCAGCTGCCGTAGATAATGCATCGATACCTTTCTGCTGCTTCATGGTCAATTCTTATGTGCTTGTAAAGTGTCATCTCTACAAAACTCCTGAGTGCAGATGCTTAGATAAGCTTTATTAAATTCCTCCTGGTATTTCATTGAACTATGCATCCATAGCTTAAAAAATAAAAGAGAAAAAAGTTATTACTTAATGACTGTCATTAACATCATCCAATCCGGCACCAAAAATGCAGTCTAATCCGGCACAATTTCCATTAAAATTAACCAATTCCAATCCAGCACATGTCAACATTTTTAAATCGAAATATTTTTGTAATAAAATGGGTTATAACAAATAAACATATAACAACGGGTCAGAATTACTCCAAAGTATCATTTGTTAGCCACACTCCTGCTGCTGGATGCATAAAACTGTCAAAATCGAAGAAAAAAACAACTCCATGCCGCTTCAAACTCAATCGGAGAAATTCTGCAGTCTTCAGTCGTTAAATGTTCAAGTTTAAGAGACGATAGGAAAAGTAGCAATTAAACACACCAATAAGCATTTTACTAGGAATTCGACAGCATCTTCGAAACAAGCATATCTGACGGTTAACGGGGGATATTTACCGAAATCTCAGGTACCTACCTTTTTCGATTTGTTCCCGCCGCCATCTTGTTTTGTCCAATCCGGCACGGGATCACGACAGTGGTAAATTATTGAATTATATTGACTTTTTCCTTGGTAAAGCCCAATATGAAGAAGTGTGCATTTAGAGGCAAACACCTTAGTGCGGGTATTACTGTCTCATGACAGCATCTAGTTTTAAGTTTATTTTTTCTGTAGTATTTTATATTTATTACCTACATTTGTACCTACGAGATGATAAGGGGATACGCAGAATGTGAAAAGTTTTGCACCCCCCCCCTTTTGTACGTTATGAGTTCACAATTTACTACAATTCCATTGACTTTTCATGTATTACATAAAACAAAGATGAAAAAAGAAGTTCATTTATTTTTTTTCTTGTAACGTAACATGTTTATGACAAGGATGGGCCCAGGAATTAAGCCTAAGGGACCAGGCAAAATTTATCACTATGATGGGACCGGTACAAACGGGCATGGGACAATCAGTTTTTTCATCGAAGAAAACCATGGGACAAAAACATTTTAAGCATTAGGTACCCATGGGACACAAACTTTTTTCAATGACACGGTCCTTAACCCAAGAGAAATATTCATTTTATTTTTAAAAAAATCAAAAAATCATATATTTGAAACAGAAGTGAAGGATACAAATGGCAACATAAATCTTTTAATGGAAAATATTTGAACAAACAAAAACATTTTTTCGAGACTCCTTAGTTTTGTTCCAGTTATCTCACTAATACCAAGATGTAATCATAGGACAATAACTTTTTTATAAGTCTCAAGGCATGGGACAGATATTTTTTAAATACCAATGCCATGGGACACGTATTTTTTTAAAATGAGGATTTTGTTTTGTACTGGTCCCATCATTGTGATAAATTTTGTCTGGTCCCTAAAGCGGGAAGGGGTGGGGGTGGCATACAAAGCATGAACAGACATGTATCATAAGAAATATTACATAGTTTACTGCTGCAAAGGAAATGGGTCAGAATATTTTTAACAAGAAAATTTTCCTAAACTCTCAAAAATGGAGGGGAAAACATTTGATGGGGGTACGCTTGTGACGGACCAAACCGACATGTAATTGTTTGTATGTATACAAATACCTCTTATGAATATTTTATTGTATTCTATATATCGGGAAAATTATTTGAGAGGGCCCGCGCCTCCCCCTCCCCGGTTGCTACGGCTATGCTTTTTCAAGGAAATTGAAACTCTTTTTTTATTGAATGGTTCTATTGCTTAATTGAATTATTTGAATTTTCCCAGAAGCATGCATGGCCAATATCCGTAATTAATATAATTATAGGTGAGCATTTACTCATACGTTGATGGCCTAACGGTTCCCCTTTCAGAAGTGTTAAGTTAAAACCTAGGGTTAGTAGGGTAGAACCATGTAACAAATAAAGATTATTTATTTGTAGTTTTATAAACAGTACATATTTGAATAAAATACCAAACAAACGTTTATATTCAAAACAAAATATATATATACTGGTTTCCGCGTAGAACATCGAGGAAGTCAAGATGCAAGTGTATTTTGGCTAGTGTCATTGCAACTTCACAATATCTGAGCATGAAAAATATATAAAATATAGAATTCAAGTAAACTGATTTAAAGCAAGGGATAAAGATAGCGAATGCCAATCCTGAATGACTTCTTTGGTCAAATAAAGAACATTTTAGTATTTTGCCTCTACATATATTTTTGCGTGAAGTTATCGCCCTTATCATATTAAATAACATCAAATTTTTTTTTCATAAATAGTCAATTTTGATAAATGTACTTAAAATAAAAAGATCAAGAATAGACATTTTTTAAATTTCTTTTCAGATAACGATAAAAATGTTTTCTTCATTATGGAAAAAGAATTATTTCTCTTATTTTAATTGTAAATAATTCTGAAACATCGATTCATAACGTATATGAATAGTTTATTTCATAGGACAATAGTTTATTTCATAGTACCAAGAAGTACTTGCGTTAAACAAACAATAAAAAAGAAAGAGAGAGTGAGAATGTGGGGAATGTGAGAGAAAGACAGAATGGTAGGGGAGGAGGAGTGAGAGGGAGAGATAGAGTGAGGGAGATAAAGAAGGGCGAGAGTGGGGGATTACCATCTCCCGTTCTATCCAAACCCTCTATGATCTCCCTGCACTCTCTATCCTTATCACACTTAGCCTCTTACTATCTCCACCGCTGTCTTTCAAGAGAGAATATGAGAGAGCGAGTAAGAGTGGAGAGAGAGAGAGAGGTTGGAGCGAGTAAGAGTAGAAGGAGTGAGAATGGAGAGAGAGGTACTGAGTGATAGGGGGAGAGAGAGGTACTGAGTGATAGGGGGAGAAAGGGAAGAAATGAGAGTGGGGAGACAGAGTGAGAGGGAAGAAAGGTTGGGAGGGGGAGAGTGGGGAGTGAGAGTGGGGAGAGAGAGGGAGTGCGAGGGGAGAGAGAGAGAGTGGGGAGAGAGAGGGTGTGCGAGTGGGAGAGTGAGGGAGTGCGAGTGGGGAGAGAGAGGGAGTGAGAGTGGGGAGAGGGAGGGTGAGAGAGTGGGAAGAGAGAGGGTGTGAGAGAGTTGGCAGGGAGAGCGGGGAGAGGGAGAGCTGAGTTAGAGCGAGGAAAAAGGGAGAAGAGTGATTGAGAGTGGAGAGAAAGGGAGGAAAGTGGGGAGAAAGGGAGGAGGAGAGAGAGAGAGGGTTGTGAGAGAGATTGAGAGGGAGGAGAAAGAAAGAGAGTGAGAGTGGAGAAAGATAGAGAGTGAGACGTGGGAGAAAGAGACAGCGAGAGTGGGTCGAGAGAGGGGGTTATCGTGGGGAGTGAGAGGTGGTAATTGAGACAGAATGGAGGGAGAGGGAGTGAAAGTAGGGAGAAAGGAAGGAGAGAGAGAGAGAGTGGGGAGAGGGAGGGAGTTATAGTGGAGAGAGAGAGAGAGATAGAGAGAGAGAAGAGAGAGAGAGGAATTGAGACTACTAGTGGGGAGAGAGAAAGCGGGGATATTAAATTCGATATGTGTTACTTTGTCTGTCTGTCTGTTCTGTAATAATTAAATCGAAACAATGTTCAAAATAAATTGAGATCTTAACATATCTTGAAGAAATATGAGTAGTAATTTCGAAAATACTAATTTAGTACTAATTTTCACAAACTTCTCTTAAGTTATACAGACATACAGAGAGACCGACAGACAGACCGATATTGATATTCCATACTTTGAATGGAAGCAGGTGACGACAAACAAAATCAATACCGGGAGTCCAGAAAATGTTTTTCCTGTCGAAATCCTTTAATTCTGTCAATTATCTTATTAGTTACCTACCGGTGAAACTTTTGGGGACTGTAGGTTTCCTTCCAGTCTGTCTGTCCGTACGTCCGTCTGTCCCTCTGTCTATTTGTAGGTCCGGAATGTCCATATTTTTGTTGCGCTTTTTCATACACGGGGTCTAATAAAATGAACCGTAATGAGAAAAGGGGATCCCAGTAGGGGACATATATTGCTTATGCAATACTCTCAGAATGCTTGTTCATTTTATTTAGCAAATACATGTATAGCTAGTATTGGCTAATATCATTTTTATGCTTCAGAACCATAACTTCTGCAACAAAACTGTTATACGTAAGGCCAACTACTAGAGAAAAGACAATTCACTATTTCCAGTTTTTCCTTTTTTCACTGTAATTCTGTTGGACATTCGTTTTTATGCTATCAATTAAAGTTAAGATACCCTAGGATGGAGGATTCTATGATAAAAAAGATATAAAAAATTGAAAAAAAAAATAAATAGATGAATACAAATGATAATACAATATTAAAAACAATAGAAACTTCTCTACATTGACAAATATTTCAAAGTGTACTCTTGGAATTTTAGATGACGCATAGCATGTTAAAATTATGACGTCGCGTCTGAATTTTTCGTAAAATCTCGACGTTCTGCTATGAAAGATACAGTATTTGGCGTTATTTTTTAAATGCATACATTTGAGTTATATATAAGAATTACATGCCATTTAATTTAAAAAATCCTAGCCTTTTTAAAATGTTTTGAACGGAGAAGATCTGAAACGCGGCATTTTTTTGGCCAAAACTGTACTTTTTTCTTTTAAACCTTAAAGTTTGTGAAAGAGATTGAATCATACATATGTCTTAAAAAATTTGAATTTACCGGGTGGCAGTAAATTCAAAATCAACATGACACATATTATATTGTTCCGATTGCTCCAATACCACGAATATAAGGAAAATTCTGCTCAAAGAGAAGTTTTTCGCCTTTGTTGTTGTTATTTATTATATTCATCATTAAAAATCACTGCTGCGCAAAAATGTAATTAATAAGTAAGTTGAATGTGGTCTGCTTATGAGAGTATACAGTGTTTTATGAATCAATATTCAAATGGCAATGAACGTAGAGTTCCTGAGAATACAGGTATCGTTATATAATGTCTGATGATTTTCATAAAAGTAGACTTTGTAATTAATCAAAATCATTAATTCAACCTTAGAGTTTGGTCCACTATAAAAAAATACTTTAACAATGACAATAACTTTTTAACCATTAGTACTAGGGTTTTCATATTTTACAGGTGTATTCCTTGTGACAAGACCTTTCTTTTGAAACCAAATAATTTTAAAGCAGTTTAAATAAATTATTCTGTAAATATTTCCAGGAACAAACCAGGTGTTCGAGTATGACGACACCCCTATCACGTTTTCCTTCGTAACACAGGCTAGTCGTACGTACAGCGGACGAGGGTTTACGGCAGTCGTGACGGCATTTACGGAGAAATCTGGCGCCAACTGCTCCGGGACCGACTTCCTCTGTGACAACAACAGGTACATCTTATATTAAACACGAATAATTAATTTCAGTAACACAAGCTGGCGTCAATCGCACAAGGAACACATTTTTTGTTGAAAGATTAAAAAAAAATTCTTATAAATCCATCATATATGTTCTTTTCCACCTTTTCATTTAGGAATTTCAAATAATTATTGTCCCTGAAATTCTAAAACAAGTTTTAATTGTGATCTTAATTTGTTTTAGTTATATAAAAAGTGATGTTGCTTATGAATTGTCGTGGCATATTCACTTGTTTTGATGATAAATACTAATAATGTACTCCAACAGTTTGTTGAAAGAATTTTTCTGCAAAGACTACATAAATATTGTCAATGATGGACTCAAATTTTTTTATAACAACTTCAGAGTGCATTTTTTTTGTTAATGACCAACCACCAGGTGTGGAAATAATCCATATTTGCGAGTTACATGTAGCCAGGAAGCTATGTTTTGAATGTTTGCCTGTTTCACTATAGTCTTCACATTGGAATCAAAATAGGTGTATAAGTACTTCGCTCGAGTGTGATGGAGAACAAAACTGTGTAGACAACACAGACGAAGCTTCCTGTTCAAGTACAACCGGTGCAGCAACAACAACAACTCCGTCTGCCTCGACCTCAGCTGGCGCAACGACCTCCTCTGCTGCAAACGTCACATCTTCCAACCAGTCAACAACGCAGTCACCTTTAAGCTCCTCCCCCAGTGCAACTACCCAATTATTGTTAACTACGACCACACAGACATCCGAAGAAAAGGTTATACATGTACAATTATTCATACCTTTAGTTGTTTATTTATCATGTATTCTTAGCAAAAAGACATTTAAATACAACTGATTCAAAGTTATTATGGAGATAATGAATAGTATTCAAGCTTAAAAGTAGATTCAACAATGCATGTGCAAATCAGAAGCAGTGAAAGCATACGAATACTAATTTTCTTGAATTCATTTAACGTCACTGTTTTTATTTTACAGTCCACCTTTCCTGGTCTCGGAGAGAAGGCTGTCCTCGTGATCATCATTCTGTCGTCTGCTGTGATCGTTACCATTATTATAACTGCAATTGTCTATAAGGTTTGGTGCACGCAGAACGTAGTTCATCCTGTGCTTGAGATAGAAGAGGCTCCAACAACATCTTTTCAACCAGCTGCTAAACCAGGTCCCAAACCGCCTCCGAAGTCGGCCCCTAAACCAGCCCCTGAACCTGCTCCTAAAACAGCCCCCGAACCGGGTCCTAAATCAGTACCACGGGGCAAAGCCCCGACCAGCGAGCAACCTAAAGCAAAAACAAACCCTTCAAAGAAAACGCCACCCAAAAGGAGTTTGAAGAAAGATGCTTGGTAGAGAAAATACTTTTGTCCATTAAATATTTTCCTCAATTTTTTCTTGTTTGAAGTTGTAATATGGATTTCTTAAATTGATGAACTAGAATCAATGTGTAATAATTCATCTGTTAACATAAGTATTCTAACGTAAAGTGAATGTTAAAGGTGAAGACAACGAACTTAATTCGATGTCAATCTATTATCATATATAGAGATAAAAAACAGTATTCAAGATCAAAAGTCCATAAAATAATAAAAATAGGAACAGAGCAAACACGGACCTCCAAAACCTGAGAGGTGGGATCAGGTGTCATGGAGGAAGAGTTCTGGCGACATTCACAACCGACGTGTGCTCCTTGTCATGATCAGGAAATTACGGAAAAATACATCGTCAATTCCATGTGTAAATAATGGATTAACAATAAAACTTTGAAATACGTCAGTCAGCATTTGACTCAATGATAAATTGTATTTGCTGACAATGTCATTGTATCGACCATGGAACTTACGAAATGATGACTTTAAAAGAGACTGTTGATTCATTAACTTGACAATACCTCGTTTTAGAAATTATTCATGCGTAGAGCAATGCTCAAGATTGCGTATCGAATCAACTGAGAGATATAAACTATTTATGCAGGCGATGGAGGACATAGAAATCAATCAGAAACTCAAGCATCTTTTTCATGTCAATTTCAGAGTACTTGTGTGTTAAATCAGAATCTCAATCATTTAAATACAAATATGTAAAGAGGACACGAAACACGGACCAATGGAAATTCAAGGTGGGATCAGGCCTGGGGGCCATAAAACTTAAGACGAGCTCACTTTTGATCTCATTCTCATTTTTACCAAAGGACTATATAGTGAAAAAGTTTGACTGAGATCAAAAGTTAGCTCATCTAAAGAACTATATGCGGTATATTGCATTTGTTTGCCCCCACAAAAGTCAAATTTTGAAAACTTCCTGAAATGTGCTGAATTCAATAAATTGTACGAGAAATATAAATTAACAGAAAATATTATAGTTCCAAAGCAGTGTATTCACAATTTTTGTTTTTATGACGTCACAAACTAGTCTGATTTTATATTCTTTTTCAGAAAAAGGACAAAATGGACAATATTTCAACAATTTTAGCTTTTAAAGTTATAGAGCGCATGTGTGTTCAGGAATAATATTGACATATTTCATTGATATTATCATTCTACACATTATATCAAAATATTTATCCTGAACACACATGCGCTCGGTGACTTTTATTTAAAATATCGACGAAATATATACATTTTTCTGTAAAATTCATAAAAAACTGAAATTTACGTCATATTTGTGACGTCATTACGTACATATGACGTCATTACTTATGAAATTATTCAGTGCTTTGAAGTCAGCATATACTCCCCTGTTTAAGGACTTAATTAAATATTACTCCATCAAAGTTTGATTTGGGGGGCAAATATTGGTTAATACCGCATAAAGTTCTTTTATGGCCCCCAGGCCAGGTGCCTAGGAGGAGTTTAATCATCCCGCCGTGAACCCCATTTATTGATAAAGATGACGCAATAAAGAGCAAGCTTTTGAGTAGCGAATAAGTTGGGAGACATAAAATTAATGCTATTGGCAGATGACAGAGGAATATAACATAGCAGGAAACTTTTTACATATATCTGCATAAATGAAATAAGCATTAGCATTAGCATCCAGCTAGCATCAGGATCATCATTCAAAAACATTAAATCAGCTAGCAAAGGAAGCAGTAAAATTAGCACCAATTATGTAACAAAATCAGTTCCCTGCACTGTACAACATGAATATAAAAAGAAAACTGAAGTCTTATCGTTTGAAATACAATTTAGTTGTTAATTGCCCTTTATCGTCTATAGTCGGTAAACATCCAAATATGAACAAATGTGATGGATTTTGTGGTGTCTTTCACCTCAAGTTCAGTGGCATATACACAGTATTGAGTCGACATATTCATGAAAATAACTTGACAAAATATTGTCGTGTATCTGAATGTCGTATTGCAGCCACTGCAAGTTCCTTCTTCTCAAGTAGAAGTTTCTGAATGAATTCTGCTTCATAAAAATATAAAAAGAGGAAGCCAATGAATGAGCAAAACTAGTGTCCATTAGAATTCCAAATATATGTCTGAAAACATTGTCTCCGAAATCTACGTTTCTATATATATATATTATCTTTGATAAGCTATGAAAAGTAATAAAACAAAGATTTATGTATAATTAAAATTATTTTAAAGTTGATTTTGTAGCACGAAATAATCATATTTATTTTAATATAATGAGTATTTCAATATGATAGACGATATTTGGAAACAGTTTTAACTAAATTGTGTAAAATGTAGAATTCTTGATAAATGATGAAAAACCATATCTATATTGGATTCCAAAACTTCATAAAAATCCTTACTAACAAAGATACATAGCGTGTTCCAGTAAATATTCTACCAAACCTCTTTACTCCTCACTAAGATATTAACAGTAGTGAATAGAAACTTAAGGATTACTATGCAACAATATATATATATATTTGAGAAGTGATATAAATCAGATGTGGATGCTTAAAAATTCCGAGGAACTGTTAGTAAATTTGAATTCACTAGATTTAAAATCAAAATTCAAAATCAACAGCTTAAAAATTTATGACTTTTCAACTTTATACAGAATTGTTCCCCACGATGAATTAGAGTCTAGGTTTCTTGATATCATTGACAGTTGCTTTTTCAACAACAACAACAACAACAACAAAAATAATAAATAAATGGTACTCGTAAATTTACTTACCTTGTCATTGGTCATTTGCAAAATTATTTTGTTAAAAACATTCTGGTTGTTCACGCTAGTACCTTGAAGATGAGATTAAAATGATGTTTGAGTTTCTTAGTGACAATATTAATGTAGTGTTTGGAGACCAGGTTTTCCAAAAGTCTTTTGGAATTCCAGCGGGTACCAATTTTACCCGATAATAGCAGACCTATTTTTGTATTCATATGAAGCAGAATTTATTCAAAATCGTTTACGTGATAAGACGAAAACACTGGCCTTCAACTCGACATTTAGACATATCGACGATGTATTGTCAATTAACAATGGTTATTTTCATTCTCATGTCGACACGATATATCCCCGTGAGCATGAGAGAAAGGATACCACAGAGTCAGACACATCTGTTTCATATCTGGATATTTTACTTAAAAAAGACGTGAATAGTAATCTAACAACCGAGCTGTATGATAAACGTGATGATTTAAACTTTTCAATCGTCAACTTCCTTTACATATAATGGAGTCTCAACTAAATTTTGATTTGTCTCAACTATTTTTTTATGCAAATATCACTGTTTAAAGCTTTGTTTATAAATGACTCGTGCCTCACCTTACAAAAACCTATGCTGAAGCACACATTTGAATTGACAAAATTTTGCTTTTCAAAGTTGAGCAAAATAAAGTTAAATTGGTAAAAGTAAAATACTGCAATTCCAGATGCAGATGTTTTTATTAGAATTATTTTTCCATTTTACATCTCCTTACCTGCATTGTTGCAATGCTACTAAATTTGTGCAACTTTATCCGAATGCAGATAAATTTAATTTACATTTCCCAATTCCCCAATGCAGGATTACCAATACTATGCAGTATGAATGCAGGCTCTGTCAGGTATTGTGCATTATAATGTCTATCAATGTCACGTCAGTCAATGCAGGCATTGGCTGACTGCACAGTCAGTCAATGCAGGCATTGGCCGACCTTGCATCAGTCAGTCAATGCAGGCATTGGCCGACTGCACAGTCAGTCAATACAGGCATGGGCCGACTGCACATCAGTCAGTCAATGCAGGCATTGGCCAAGTGCACATCAGTAATTCAATGCAGGCATTGGCTGACCGTACATCAGTTGGTCAATGCAGGCATTGACCTTACATCAGTCAGTCAATGCAGGCATTGGTCAGTCAATGCAGGCATTGGCCGACTGCGCAATCAGTCAATGCAGGCATTGGCCGACTACACATCAGTCAATCAATGCAGGCATTGGCCGACTGCACAGTGAGTCAATGCAGGCATTGGCCGAGTGCACATCAGTCAGTCAATGCAGGCATTGGCCAACCTTACATTAGTCAGTCAATGCAGGCATTGGCTGACTGCACATCAGTCATTCAATGCAGGCATTGGCCGACTGCGCAGTCAGTCAATGCCTGCATTGGCCGACTGCACATCAGTCAGTCAATGCAGGCATTGGCCGACTGCACATTAGTCAGTCAATGCAGGCATAGGCCGACTGCACATTAGTCAGTCAATGCAGGCATTGTCCGATTGCACATCAGTCAGTCAATGCAGGCATTGGCCGACTGCACAGTCAGTCAATGCAGGCATTGGCCGACTGCACATCAGTCAGTCAATGCAGGCATTGGCTGACTCCATAATCAGTCAATACACCACATTCTTCTTCACAGTAGATTTTAAATCCCCAGGCTTGGCTGACTTTGACAAACTGTTCTATAAAAAATGGCTGTTTGATTGTTAATAATTATCATGTCAAGAATATGTATACTCGGTAATGATAAATAATATCATTTTAATTTGAAATTGATAAATCTAAAATAATAGGAGGCCAGATAATTTTAAAATCATAAAGCGTCGTAATGGACATAAGAAAAGTTAACGTGCATGAGGTGAAAGCTGGTCTTTTTTTTTTTTTTTTTTTACAAAAGTGTTATTCATTTTATAAATTCCAAAGAAGCCAGCATAAAAATGATTTTGGCTGTTAATTGACAACAAAGTACTAATTGTTCTAATTAATTGATTAAAATTTTCACTGCGGGGAATTTGGTGAATTTCCAACATGACTGAAACTGATGTAACAAAATAAATTCACTTGATATATGCACATGCATGTATAATGGTATAAATATTTTCCTAAAGTATATGAATAGTAGGAAATAAAGTGGCACATTTAGTCGTGCATATATGTTATTCATTTAATTTCATATATTATAAAGCGTTTTCTTGATCCTCTATCTTTTTCTTTTCCTTTGGTCTATATTGTAGTTTTTAACCCGTGTATACCTGAAAAAGAAATGCATGCAGTATTAAAGTAAACTTCTTTTTAAAATAATCGCGAATTACCGTTTATTTTTACATTTACTTTCCAAATTTTTTTTTCAAATATTTCATTTAATTAACTCTGTTAGTTCACAAATAGTTTAAACTTATTTCTTCAAATGAAAAGACTTTGTAAGAATATGATGGCAATATATTCTGTAAGGCAGATTAACTATGCATTCCCAAGCCTTCACAAGACTAAATAATTTATTTTCCGGATAACCAGAGGCATATTACTTTTAAATTCCTGCCACTGGACATATTATCTTTATTCAATTTTTTTTTAGCACAACTACTTTTTTTTAAAAAAAATTTCCAGACCCCCCCCCCACACCTTCTTTTCAGAATTGAATGAATATTCTATCCCTGTCATTCAAACAAATACAAACAAACCAAAAAAAAAGAAAAAAGAAACATAATCTTACCAGAGTTTTCTTTTTTTTTTTTCGATTTTTTCACTATTCACTTTCATCTGTATATGACTGGTTTGTAATGCACTAATGGACGAGTTTACATGTACATCATTCCTTACAAGGAAACGGTTTTAAAACTGAAATAAATAATTATTATCCTCAAATTTTTTTAATATTGTGAAGGAAAAATAGATTGAAATTACTCTGATTGTAGATATTTATTTTAATTCGTCATAAATTAAAATTTCTTGCGATGCACCATCTTTTGAACGCCTCTGTATTTAAAAGTGAAAGTAGCTATTAAGACCGAGTATTAATCATGAATAAAAAAAATTCGGCCGTCTAAATGTAAGTTTTATGTTATTTGTAAGTAAACACTTTTATCTATAACTGGTTTATGAACAGACGTTAACAAACTACTTACCACAAAGAACGATATACAGTCTGTAGGCCTGACGTTACACTCAATCATCGGCCCCTCTGCTGTAGGATGGTCAGCTATTACCAGTATTTCGATGCCTGGATTGGTAAAACGTAACATGTGCACGTGTATAATCATTCAGCATAAACACACAACATTTGGTAACTGGAAATACGTCCTTTTTATCGTTGATTTTTAAAAAGATCATCTTAACCCCTTGGCTTATTAACGTTTCGCGGATTTTAGTTTCTGTAATATTGTGACGTCATATAAGTACGTAGTGCATCACCCAACAGTTAGGTCTGTTTGAAGACTGATCATTCACACAGCAAAATAATATGTTGGCGATTAAAAAAGTATGGAGTTTTTATTATGCAGTGGAAAAACACCAGTTGTGATATTCTTGAAGCAAAGCTTCGTCCAGTGTATCTTTATCCGATAGTATGCGTTTTCAAGACGGGAAGTTCCAGCTGCAGATTTAAGACACATTGAAGGTTTGTACAAAGTAGCCTACCATGCTTTTATTTAAATTATGCAACTATATTGTGTTTATTTGGCAAATGTTTCAATTATTATTCAAAATAACTTGCCTTTTTTAATTTCCAACTTGCCCAAATAATGTAATATAATAATGTAAAAAAAAAAAAAAAAAAAAGGAAAATGCTTTTAACTATTTTTAAGATTATTTCTGGGATTCGGGATTTTCCAGTTTTGATGTACAGCTTCTTTCTAAAGTAAATCGTACTTTTTCGACTTCTAGCGTAGAAAAAAAAAGAAATATAGTCGTAGAAATGTTTGCAAATTATGGCGTGTGTTTAGAAATCTTTATGGTTGTACCCCTTAATTATTTGGACTGATAAGTTTTTTTACTCCATGCCCCACTCTCACCAAAGAGTTTGGTTCGGCCGTTGTGATTTTTTTTCCATAAAAATAATGCATGCAGTGGCAAAAGTTACAAAGTTCATGTTTGTTTTGTCTAGGGATTTTTAAATACATGTCTTATTTTTTTCTTAACAGTGTTGAGTGACACTCAGATGGAATCTACAGCAACATTAGACTACAGTCTGTGATGATATCCGATTCTATGAGACCTGAGTCTGTTTGTGAAAATGGTGGCCAACGACCATATCATAAGGTTTTATATTCAATATTGTGCCTCACTACTTGTATTTGATTATTGAGTGATGATTACATGAATACATAAAATTAAAAATCTGCGAAAGAAGCATTTTTATTAATATTTAGAGCGTATAACATTAATTATTATGTTGGAACAAGACGATGTGTAATTATTTGGTGAAACAATGCCGAAAATTATATACAAATTTACACGAATTCAAACAATGTTGTGTAACTCCGATTCTATTTTCAGGCGAAGTACTGAGAACTGCACAGACTAAATGGATTACTTTAGGAATCAAGAAGACAACATTTTGACAATGCATAAAAGATTCTACGCAAATAATTTTTATCAAACTGTCCTTGAAAATACATCGTTTTTATTTAATTTTACTTTTCTGCAAATTCTTCTCCATAATTAAAATAAACGTTAAAATTGATCATTCATCGGCATTACTTGATTTATAGAAGTCTGCTGTAAAAAAACCAGTTTTGACAAATACAATATGTACATGTATAACTATATTTTTTACAAGGAAGATTTTATTTGCATTAGCCGTATGAATTAAAGCTATTCCAATGCCTGCAGTCCCTATACATGTTTATACAGTGGAATGTACAACGCCTGCATTGCATCAGTCTTTTGAGTCTATCATTGACTGCATTAGAACTTATGTGCATGCAGTCGGCCAATGCCTGCATTGACTGAGTGATGAGCAGTCGGCCAATGCCTGCATTGACTGACTGCGCAGTCGGCCAATGCCTGCATTGACTGACTGCGCAGTCGGCCAATGCCTGCATTGACTGACTGATGAGCAGTAGGCCAATGCCTGCATTGACTGACTGCGCAGTCGGCCAATGCCTGCATTGACTGACTGATGTGCAGTCGGCCAATGCCTGCATTGACTGACTGCGCAGTTGGCCAATGCCTGCATTGACTGACTGATGTGCAGGCATTGGCTAGCTCTCTAAAGAGCCAATGCAGACATTGACGGACTCTCTTGAGAGCGTGAGAGAGTCAGCCAATGCCTGCATTGGCCTTGAGAGCCTTGAAATGCCCGAGTGACCATAGATAGAAAGAGAAAGGGAAAAGGATAAAGAAAGAGCGATTCACATTGCCTGCATTGGCCCTTTTTATAGTTGTGCAGCCTGCATTCGCCCTTTTGATAGTTGTGCTACCTGCATTGGCCAACAATAAACACATTGCCGTAAGAAATTGCGATGAAATTCTGGCATTGACTGAAGAATAATAGCCACCACTGCATTGCAAGTTTATTCACTTTCCTAGGTTTAAAATACATTTTCTATTCCTTTAACGCCAAATTGCATTAGTCAATTACATTTAGAACAAATTCGATTGCATATGTGATTAAGATAAAACACAAATCAGAATATGCTAAAATTTGCATGAAATTGAATGGACATCATGTCATTGTTCCCGTTGTTACTTGTATCATATGAATTTGGAAATAAGTGAATAAAACCATACCATTTGTTTCGGACTAATTTTGTAATCATAAACAACTTCTTTTATAAATCTATTAAATTATATTTACTTTGGTAATAGAAGTCAAAATGTCTTTCCAAATTGCCCATATCATCGAACTTAAATTAAAAAAAAAATAAATTAGACAGATAAAAATTAGTTGAGACCCCATTATATGCAGCAATATACCATGATGACCTGCGTACGGGGTTTATATATCCCAGTGATTCGATACGGAAGAGCATACTCTATGTATGAAAACTTTCTAAAACAAGGTCAATTATTGACAAACAAGTTGCTGAAACAGGAATATCAGCAGTCTCGGTTAAAGTCATCATTTCGTAAATTCTACGGTTGATATAATGACCTTGTCAGCAAATAAAATTTATCATTTACTCAAATGCTGACTGACGTTTTTCATACTACATGTAATTATTAGTCCATTATTTATACACTGAATTGACAACGGATTTTTTCCGTTATTTCCCGATAATGACAAAGAACACATGACGGGTGTGACCAGCTGGGGATGCTTACTCCTCAATGGCAACTGGTCCCACCTCTGATGTTTTGGAGGTCCTTGTTTGCTCTTTTTGTATTGTTTGATGGATTTTTGAGCTTGATTACTGTTCGTTTTCAAAATATATTTCATTATGAAAACAAATTATTGACCTTGAATTAGGTACCCCGGTTCCATTGCAACGAAGGTTACAGTTCTTAAACTATTTTTAGATTTTACAACCACTCACACATCTTTTTTAAATTATGATATAAAAATTCAAATCTGTTACATGTACTATGCGTGGCTAACCTGTTTTTAATAATTTCAGAGAATTGGTCTTAACATTAGTCTACACAGGCCTGGCCTGGCCTGGGGGCCATAAAACTTAGATGAGCTCACTTTTGATCTCAGTCTCACTTTTCCGCTTTATATGCTTTTGGTAAAAGTGAGATTGAGATCAAAAGTGAGCTCATCTAAGTTTTATGACCCCCAGGCCTGGTCTGTGTAGACTAATGTTAAGACCAATTCTCATCTAAGTTTATTACCTCCAGGCATGGTCAAGTTTGATTATTCTTGTCTTTCTACCCTTGTTAACCTGTACCTGACAAGGTTTGTGTAGTCACAAGAGACCTCATCAAATGTCGAAGAATTGTATAAAGATTAATGAACATATACTCCATATATATTGCATTATAAAAAGAAATTACTCATTGAGAAGAGAAAAAAAATTCATAGTATAATTAAAAATTTCAAGTCACATAACACATTGATAAGACTGCAATAATTAAATATAAGATATTTGATGACGTCACTACACGTGATCCTGTGTTACATAGGTCACTATCTCGACAGCAGTTCTTCGTTACACAACCACGAGATCCGTGAAGTTCAGACGAACAGTTCTCAAAGTCATTTTTAGGAAGACAGTTCCAGGCACAACCTCTGACTGTGGAATCATATATTCTGTTATCCATCGTACTGTACATAGAGTAGTATACTTTCTGAAATTTACCAATATTACAACTATATTAATGATAAAATTCTTTCGAGAGCAATTTGCAATACTGCTCGATTGTGTTTACTTTCTATATGCATGATTTTTAATTCAAGGGTTTTCATTTCAATCATTAATTGGCTAATTACTGCGGTATATCCACAGTAAAAGCACAAGAATTATAAAAGGTGGTCATAAGCAACGTATAACGCTTTTAATTTCAAATGATTTAGAAACATGCGATAAGTCCTTCAAGATATTCATTTTAAAGGTATATCTATGCACTCCGGAAGTGATTATAGCTCGAATCTGAACATCCTGTCTGAGTAAACATGCTTTTAACATTATTATAGAACTGACTTTGCAATAATGTGACGTGTGCTGAAGTCATTATAAATTATTATACATGTAGGATTAACTTTACAAATAATGTGACATGTGCAAATGAGAACTTTTTTTCATTGTTGTTATACCTCTTGTCTTGCAAATAATGTAACGCGCATGCAAGTGAGCACGTCTATTTACTAAAGACCTTCCGTTGCAATAGTGTGGCGTGTCATGTGAGTAAGTTTTTTTTACATTGTTATACACCTTCCAGTGCAATAATTGACGTGACATGTGCTCAGATCAACGCGTTTCTTGAAGCTGAACATGACTCATAAGTAGGCACACGCCATACTCGATAATACTATCTACGATATCAGCACCAGGTTACACTCTTCAAATTCATTACATCTGACCGCTCTATTGTCACAGATATCGGCGTGGAATGGCGATCCATGTTCTTGCGAGTTATCTTACATTACCACTGTTTACATTTTTTTATGTATGTGTATTTTGTGATTGTTTGTATACTGCACTGGCCTGCGCAAGTGTTTCTCTGGCTTACTCTCATGCCGTAGAAGAACTTTTTTGTCGCTGCTGAGTGCTGTATATAGCATACACCACACCACTGACAGTTGATTACACTAAACAAGTTTTGACTAAATTAGCTTTACATAGGGGTTGTCAAATATAGCGAGAGACCAACTAAATATGGCAAACATGTTCCTCTTACGAATCGTGTTCAGCTTTAACAATATTATAGACAATATGACGTGTTCAAGTGAGCACGTTTTATTTACATTGTTATAAATCTTCACTAGCAATATTGTAACGTTTGCAAGTGAGCAATACTTATTTATTTGAGTTTTAGGTTTACCTGACAATATTGCCCGGGAGAGCACTGCTTCTTTACAGCCTTATAATTTTCACTTGGATCTAAATCACAGTCCTTAGAAATACAATGCCAGCACTTTAAGCCCAACGAGATCCCTGTAAGCATGAATAATATTAATAAGCATGAATAATATGAAATTAATAAATATGTAAATAATAATAATAATATTAAAACAATTCATAAGTCTTAAAACGATTATGTTTTTATAAAAGAATTCCAAAAATCGTTTCGAACTACCAAACAATCATAAACCAAGAATACATATTTCAAACGGCAGTCTGACCAAGACGTTCAAATTTATTTATTATTTTTTTTAGTAATCCCTTTCTCTTCCTAAATTTAACATCAATTAAGCAGATACAGGGTATGTAATTGAAGAGTATCAATAAGATTTTTTTTTCGCGCCTTTTCTCCATAGAAAAAAAGAAACATTATCAATTTGCAAACTTCGGCCACAGAGCAGAGAGTTTAAAATGAATAAATCACGGCCCGTTTGTCAGAAAGAATCGAATAATTAATAGGTTTTCGTGATTTACTTTGATGGTTTGTATTAAATAGATTGGATAAACGGAAAAAGCATCTAGACCACAGGAAGAAGAACTAAAAGACATTCGATGGAAACGTCAGACGAAACCGATAAGAAAAAAGCTAAAACTAGTATACTGTATTATAGTAGAGATTTGTTTATTTTTGTGTTAAACAATCTTCCTGAAAGTTTTTTACTCATAGGCGCCACCACGTTTTGGTGGAGGATTGCAAACTGGCACTCAATGACTTTGTGCACTGAGGAATCTTGCTCGTGTCAGCATCTACTGCGGCACTATTCTTAGTTTATATTTTCATCCGAAGGACCGATCTCAATATCTCCAGCGGGATTCGAACCTGCGATATACTTAGTAAGTATCAACTCATTACTCTGCGTCTTTAAAGCAAATATTCTAACCACTAAGCTTCGAAGGCGAATGGGAAAGAATTGATTCAAAAGTAAGGAACTATCTGCCTTGGAGAGTTAATTTTTAGCATACCTGCTTTTTGATATAGAGTTGTGGGGGGCCATCATTCTATATTTAGCAAGATTATTAGTGAAATGGATGATAATAATGAACAAGGAATAAAACAAAATACAAACATTACAGCCCGTGTGGCGTAGTGGTTAGAGTATCTGCTTTAGAGTCGCGAGGTAAGGAGTTGATCCTTACGTCGCGGGTTTGAGTCCCACTTTGGGATGTGAAGACCGAT